AATCTGGTAAGACACTAGGAAATAAATCTGAGTAGCTTTTCCCAACAGGAAAACTCAGAAAAGTCAATTGTATATAATAGTTATAGAAATGGTGTTTTTAAAATGGACTAAAAACAGTATACAAGAGGCCAGTTTGTACCACTTGGGGTAACTTTGAGAAAATAAATTAAGGAAAACAAGTTTTCTTCAGTAGAACAGGTGTGTAGAAATTTATTACCAATAAAACTATGACTCGGAGAATTGCATTATTGTCATACAACTCAATTAAGAGAATTTTCTGATATCGTCTACTGTTTTTACATGTGCTGCTCACCATTACCTTATCTGTGGCAATAAATACTTTGTTAACTTCCTCATTCATTAAATATTTAGGGACACCCAGCATTTAGCTAGCTGCTGAAAGATACAAATCAGATAAAAACTCCACCTTTGAGAAGTTGCCAGCTAGTTTAGGAGAGGACGAATACATAAATAATTGACAGCTGACTTTGAATGAGACAGAAACTCCTGATTCCTGCCTATGAGCTGCTCCCAGCGGAGCAGGGAGATAGATGAGTATGTCGCAATATCAGTCACCATGAGAGCTCAGAGAAGGAATGCCTAATATCTGCTGGGGGAAGGGGGAGATAAGGGGAGGGGAAGAGGCAGAATTTGTAGAGGTGAGCCAGACTGGAGACATAAAGTTGGATAACGACAAAGTTTGTAAGATTAGGGAAGCAGAGAAAAACAAAGAAATCCGAGGCACAGTGCTGGAACATTCATCATATGTTACCTCATGATGATGAAACTGGTATACTCGTGCTCTTGATGAGGAAACTGAGGCTCAGAGGATTTAGGTGACCTGCCTTCAATCACAGAGCTAATAAGTAGCAGAGCTGGGATTTAACCCAAATCCCAAGTGTTAGGCTCCAAAGACACACCATACTCCTCCGAAGGGCAGGAAGTAGGAACAGGTATGGTGTGCTCAGAGAGGTAAACAGTCCGAGTGGGGGTGGGGAACAGGGCATATGGAGCACAAGGGAGGATGGGAAACAAGGTGAAAAAGGCAAGTAAAGAGCCTCAACCAAGAGCCTGGGTGGCCAGGCCACTGGCAACAAGGGCCTTGAAGGATGTGAGCAGAAGAGTGACATGATCAGTAATGCTCAGAAGGATTCTCCTGGTAGCAAGTAGAGTGAAGTGAAGGGAGAAAGGTTGGCAGCAGTTAATGAGCTACTGCAAAGGTTCGAGTTAGAGGTATTATGGGTAGAATTAAGGGAGCAGCACCAAGGAAGCTGCTTTGGTAGATTTAGGAGGCTAAATCATCGACTCAATAATGGCCTGGATTGTGGGCAAGAAGTTGAAGATTCCTGTTTGGAGTGCTGCCTGTCTAGGTAGATGCTGCTGCTGCCATTCATCAATATAGGGAGTACATGGGAGTAGAATGTTTTAGGAAAAGGAAACTAACCTCTCTCTTACACACGATGAGTTTGAGGGGATAGTAGGGCAGCCAAAAGGCCAGGAAATAGGTGGCTAAAAATATCTGAGACCTGGTAAGAAAGCTGGGCTGGAGATGGAGATATGGGAGCCATCGATGCACACAGAAGTGGCAGGTGCAGCCTTGGATGTGGATAAGGCTGCCTGGGGAGAGTGTGGGCAGTGAGACAAGAACCTGAGGATAGAAATGTTGGCAAACACCAACAGTTAAATAAGCAGTAAGAGGAGGACTAACATGAAATAGAAAGTGGTCATGAGAAATACAAATACCTAAGTGTATTCAAATGAAGGGAGCTTTTGTTTGGTTTGAGTTTGTAAGATAAGGGAAAGCTTCAACAAGCCTGGAAAAGGAAGTTAGGGCAAGCAGGAGGTGGTTTCCATTTCTCGTGCTACTTACTGGTTACCTGGTTTCAGCCCCCTTATGACCCTTTGAAGATTTAAGGGTTGGATGGAAGTTAAGTGACGTTTCAGTTTA